AGGAGGAAAAGCATGTATCTGAAGCACACATTGCTAAATGAGCTCTTTGTTCACTTAAGATTATTCATCTTGAATTTGACTCTGAGGAGGTTTAACCTTATCTAACTCACTGGCCCAAAGCTAATGAATCATGTCTTCAAACTGTCTCTTCTTTTATTTTATTATAATGGGACACAAAATAAAATTTTGTATCTGAACAAGTTGGGAATAAAGTCAATTTTCTTCTGTATTTAATGGCATACCAGCAGCCTTGTATTATATAGAAGCAAAGGAGAAGATAAATGAAGAAAATGAAGAGAGAGTCAGCTTGCTTCTTGTCTTGGAAGTAGGAGTAACGTGTAGCATCAGGCAGAACTCAGCTAGGGAAGGGATCTAACTTATCTGTCTTTGTTCTTGCTATGGTGGCTCAGGTTCAGCCTCTATTTCTCAGTGAGAAGGACTGAAAAGTGCTTTGTGCTATTTTATAAATATGTGTACAGAGTAGAATTTAATAACCAGAGAGACCATGAATGAAATACTATAAAAATACATCAGCTTAAATTTTAAATGAACATGCCTACCCAATATTTACATTCAAGTTAAGGTAGATGAACACGAATGTATTAGTATACCATTCTGATTTGATACATTCTAATTTTCAAGACATTTAAAATATGTTGCATGATTAATCTAGTTATTTAAAAATTGGGCAAATTTAAAGCAGTTTTTATTTGCCAGTTTAATGTGTAGGCTAGTAAGCTTAAAATATATACTATGCAGGCCTAGCTAGATGCACCTGTGTTAAAATTCTTACCTGCCATGATCTTAGGGGGTTCCCTTGTTGGAATAGTTTTGACTCCCATTCTGAAAGATCACTTGCAATCAGTATTTTGTGCTACTGTTATTCTTTCCAGTCACCCTCTTTAAATAATGAAGGAACTCTGGGGTGGGAGATTTTGTGGGGGACCAGTAATGATTGAGTTAGTCTTAGTGACAGATAGCTGTTTTCTTTTTCTAGAGCTGAGGGCAAAATTAATTCAATTCACTTTTGTATGCACAAGGCCAGTTCTATCTATTGGCCTTCCCTTCCCTTCTCTTCTCCTACCCTCTTCCTCCCTCCCTTCCTTTCTTCTTTTCTTCCTCTCTATTTCTTCTTTCTCTGTCTTTATTTCTTTGATGTAAGGGTCAAAATTTATTAGGTGGGTAAACCCTCTCTCTCTCTCTTTATATATATATACATATATATTTGTAATATTCATCTATTGATCTCTTGTTATGAAAACAAATAAGAGGAACTATGTATATTCTAGTAATAGCAAAGATTACATTACTAAATGTGAAAAAAATGCAAATTTATTGTGCCCCTAATAGATATGTGAGGAATCTAAATGGTTCTTTTTAATGTTTATTTAATGCCATTATTTATAATTTTCATACAAAGCAACATGGCAACCTTTGAAGAATTCACTGGTATAGGAATAGAAATAAATCAGTAAAGACCAAAAACCCAAACAACAAAATGAAAAAAGCAAATATAATATAATATAATATAATATATATAATATATAATTATATATAATATAATAAATAGTAAAACATGGCCAAAAAAGCTAAAGATAAATACATGCATTCTGCTTACCTTTGCTCTCAAAGAACATGTGTTCCTCCTGCTGCTAGTTCAGATTCATCATTAAAGATGTGATAGTTCCTCTGAAGGTATGCTTCTTTTTGTATGTCAGGACCAGTATTGATTAGGTTTAGAGATTTAGTCATTTAAGTTAAATGGTTGTTTCCTATTTGGTAACATAATAAGGATCTTAGATCAGATAGTTTTTGCAATAATCAAGAAATGTCATGTTGAGGACATGTTTTTTCTTTAAATACCCAACAATGATGGAAAAGTATCTTAGAAAGTAGCTTTAAAAACCTATAGGTAAGAATTTTCTCAGTGTGAGATGTATGCTACTTGCCCACCTACCCCAAGCTTCATACCTATGTTTAATAAAGTTTCAGGTCACAGAGGAAATGTGTAGTTTTCCTCCATGCATCTAAGCAATATGATTTAAGGTATGCAGAACTTATAATTAGAGACTACTTTGTTTTAAAGAACATCATTCAAAGTTCTAATTTAGAAAAATAGCTTATTTGTCACATACTTCCACTTTGAGGCTGAATACATACTTGCACACAAGTGAGCAATTGTGCTAGAAACATCTTCGAGCTTTTTCAAGGAAAATGGAAATACATTTCTAAAACAAATAGCAACAACAATAAAATTCCTTCCTCTACTTTTTTATTTTCTTTCTTTTTTTTTAAACTAAAGGTAACTATAAACTTAGGTGTTTTAAAGTTCCCCAGAAACCTGGAAATAACTGCTGGAATAACACATTCCCAGAATTCCCCTGGTCCACAGCCTCATCTGTCTACATCACAGCACCTTTCACAGTACAAACACATGAATGGCTACTTGTCTGGCTCATAGTAAATTCTGACCTCCTTGAATGTAAGAATTCAATATTTTACCTTCCATCATTCATACAGGTAGCACAGGCCTGAAACAACACATGTTCACTATACATTAAAGCATAATGTCTTTGTAATGAAAGAAAGACAGTGAACACTGCTTTGCTCTCTCCAACCTGTTTCTTACTCTTTCCAATTATAACTCCTCAGTATATTTCCTGTATCTGTCATGTTCATTGTCATTTCCAATTTATTGCAAATACAGTTGCCCTTGCTTATAGTGCATCTCTCATCTCCTTCATCTGTATGGAACTGAACTTTGTTTACAGCTCTGTTCTCATCCCTTGACTGCCATTGTATTTCTCACATAGGACTAGACCATTCTCACTGTTACTGCGTTTCTCTGACCTCATATTGCACCACGTAGTCTATCCCTCCATAAATTGTTTTGAATTACTCTTATCATTCTATTGCTTCCAGTATTCTTTTGTATCTTCTTGAGCAGCACCGTTCAGTAGGAATTTCTGTGATGAAATAATCTATAACCTGCACTTTCTGATTCAGTAGCTACTGGTCACATGTGACTATTAAGAATTTGAAATGTGGCTAGCATGACTGTAGACATTAAAACTTTCAATTAATTTAAATAGCCACATGGCTAGTGGCTTCCACACTGGATAGCACAGTTCTAGAGCATGTAGCACAGGGCATGGCCCATGTTGTAAGTAAGTAACAATATTAATATCAGGTTGTATTAAGGAATTTGACAGAAAAATGTTTTGTTTTGAGGAGGCACTTACTAAAAACTTGGAAAAATTAAGACTCAAACTAGGAATTAAAAGAATAAATCAAATGAATTTGGAAAATTAATGCATGAATTTGAGACTGAAAGTAGTTTAGGTGCAATAGAAAAATGAATTAACTACTAAGAGCCAAGCAGCAAAAATCCAAACTGATATGGTTACCACGAAGCCAGAGAAATATCCATTATATATACCAGCTTGATTCTCTCCTCCAAATTCAGAATGTGAACTAATTAAAGATTAAATATTAGAATGAACAAAATGCAAGAGTTTTAATTCAATTACATTCTATTAACAGGGTTTTTTGAAAATGCTTTATTTAGTACAAGTTAGATCTTATGATAACACACTGTTATGTTTTAGTTTCACTGTATTGACTATTAAACTGTTATAATTGAATTTTATTGTATTGCCTGTTGCTTGAAATAGCCCACAAGTATTTAGTTAGAGATGTTTTACAGCAGTATTTCATTCTTCTGTAACTTAACTCTTTACAAATTATTTTTCTACGGATTTTAAAATCTAGTTATAAGCTGACTTCAATCACTTCATTGTTTTTTTCTGTAGCTAAAAAGTTAGTTATAATTTCCTTCATTTATTTAATAAATATTTATTGAATGCTGTCTATGGGCCAGATAATGTGCTAGGCTTTGGTACTAATCAGTAAGTGAGTCAAATACATACTTTGTTCTTGTGGAAATTAAATCTAGCAGAAAAATATTTGACTGGTGAATAAAGGTTAAGAAATATACAAATGTCAGTTGTCACAGTTGTGACTATTCCTGGGGCTCTAAGCAAAAGGAGCCACTAACAGCTCAGGGTTGATCAATGTGAGTAAGAGCAAACTGGAGGCTTCATGAATAAAGTGTGGCTTTAGTTGACCTTTGAAGAGTAGCTGAGAGCTGGGGGGGAGTTGGGTAGATAGAAGTATGGCAAAGGCATTTCAGGTAAAACAACACACAGTGTACAGTATAGAAATGAGCTTGGGAAAAATGAGAAGACAAATCTAGCTTGAATGCAAAATAATTATATACTTGATTTTAGCTAAAAGACTGAGAAGTGATGCAAAATAATATAAAATCACAAAGCCATCTTCTAAACTAGAAAGATGTGTGATGTTAGTAAATAACCTGTTTGTGGAGAGGACATTCAGTCTGATGTAACAATGTTGGGACACACAGGTGAAGTTGATTCCCAAAGTTCATATGCATGATGACCCAGAGCCCAAGTAGACATTGGAAAAGAGGTAATAGCTTGGGGAAAATAAAGGACAGAATCTCAGGAAAAATAAAAACAAAACGCAAAAACATAAATAGTTGTGTGTATGAAGTAAGGTAAGAAGTGACTTAGACGAAGCTAAAGTAGGTATCTTTGTAAAGAATGGAGCACAGAAGAGTCATGTGATGGTTGGTTGAGGAGATTGAAAAAGTAGAATGGGCTCCTAGATTTAGAGAAGGAGGTCCATGACTATTACTGAACAAGAAAATTTATTCGAGAGTTTATGCAGAAACATTATTTAGAAAATAAGCAGGGAAAATTGTACACAGGATGTGAAATGAAAGCAGGACCCTGTGACAAGGTCAGCATTGCCCATGTAGAAGGCTTCATAGAGGCTAGTGGGTTATTGTTTGTGTATTTTTAAAAGACCTGAATATGTTTGAAGGTGAGAAATGAGGAGGCTTTGGTGGTTTTTAAACTGAATGGTTCACTGGGTTTTTTTTTTTATTGTGTTTGGTGTTTTTCATTAAATCCCAGTGACTCCATTACAGAAGAAACTCTGAGACAGGCAAAAGAAATTGGGTTCTCAGACAAGCAGATTTCAAAATGCCTGGGACTGACGGAGGCCCAGACAAGGGAGCTGAGGTTAAAGAAAAACATCCACCCTTGGGTTAAACAGGTAAGGGAACTTCCCTCTCAACCCAGGATTTCTGTGGTGAAATGTAGGGACCATCTCAAAAAACCAAGGTCTACCAAAATGATGGTGTGTTTAGAAAATGAGTCTACTTGCTTAATTAATGCCCATGTTGTCATCAGTTTAATTTAGCTTAAAAGGGAAAAGATCAATTTATGTTTAAAAGGGAAAGGATGAAGGGACCCTGAGATGTAAAGATATGAATGATTTTTGTGATCTAAATAAAAAATATATCAAAATGATCTGTCCTCTGCTTTTTGATCTGTGTCCAAATACATATGTAGTAAGAAAAATCCTTAGTGTAATAATAGGAGACCAGCATGGTGACTGACCCTCTTGAAAAGAGTAGTGATCTCCTTTGGCACTAAGTTTTTACAGGGTAATACTTTATTTTAAGTGCCCCATCACTACGGTTCATTTAATATTCATTGTGATAGGGCTGGTGTAATGAGTTCATCTAGTATTCATGACAATCACACATGAACACTCAAAGGTGTGCTTTTTTTTTTTTTTTTTTGCTTTTAATGGAAGGACTATCTTGACTTAAAGTACCACCAGCTGTTTTTTGTCCTTTCAAACTATTGACTTTTCTCAGTGTGCTTAGCAGGCACATATATACCCTTAGGTCTCAAGTTTGATACTAATATTTTCTACTCAGCAATTATTATCTCTCTTCCTTCCCACCTGCCTTACACCAGTTTGCCCTGTCAGCCCCAAATTCTTGCTCACTAAGCTGAGCTACTGGCTCTTGAGTGTGGAATTGATTTACTTTTTCCAATTATGTCCAATGAGATACTGAGCTCCCACATCCTGCTTATGCTTTATGGTTTTTGTGTCATCTCATTTCTCAGGGCCATTGGTAACTTAAATCCTATGCAATAATTTGCGAAGCAAACACATCCTTCTGTATCGGTCATTTTGCTCGGATTTTAGATTTCATGCACAGATACTTTAGATAGCTGGTTGAGTATGTCTTCCTGGTAACTAGAAGACCATGTGACAATTTTATTGTGTTTATAGGAGGTACTATTATAGTGATTCAGTGATATGCTGGGATGTGTGTGGCTATTTATTGCTCAAGAAATAACTAGGTTCATCTCATTATTTCTTTTGTCTCTTTCAGTTTCTGAATTAAAAGACAATTAGATTGTATATAGCTTTTCCTGTCTTTATATTTGACAACAGTAAGCATTAAAGACATATGAGTGCAGCACAAAAAAGATCCAGGGTCTTGAAAAAATTGTAATAAAAGGAGCAAAATCCTTAATTAATTAATTAGTTAATTAATTGATTTCTCTTGCAGATCGATACACTGGCTGCAGAATACCCATCAGTAACAAACTACCTGTATGTTACCTACAATGGTCGGGTAAGAACTGACAAAATGCCATATGTGCAGAGCTTTAGCTTTGTAAATGGCACACATACATGAATGCATGTTTTTTCATGTTTGATTATCTACTGATCTTGGTAATAAAAATGGCATTGTGTGGGTCAGATATGATGATGTGTTTTTGTACTCAGTTTTTAAAGAATTGTCTTAAAATAATGAAATCAAGCAGGTGAATTGATGATAAAGAAAATTCATTCCATGGGCATATAAGTACATTTGCTGTGTTCTCATGACAATTTAATGTACAAATACGAAGCTAGATCTATTTTTTACAAAGAAGTAGAGCTTTATAATACTTTATGCTTTTGGATTCCATATGATTAACAGAGGATGCCCATGAATAAGGGGAAAAATGAGAAAGGCTCACTTAGAGACAGGATATATACTTTAATTAGATGGAAGTATAACACATAATAATTTCACATTTTCAATTTCCTCACCCTCAGGAACATGATATCAAGTTTGATGAACATGGAATGATGGTGCTAGGCTGTGGACCATATCACATTGGTAAATTGATGACTTATATTTACAAAGGGCTTCACAATTTATATAATGGCCTTCATAAATATTAATTTCATTATTTCAAGAATCATGTAAAATAAATATCATTGTAATAAGTGTTTTGCAAATTAGGAAATTAGGTTCAGAAAAATAAAACCCAAGCTTATATAGCTATTTAGTGGTAGAAGTGGGATTCAAACAAAGATCTCAACTATAAATCCCATCTTCTTTCACTTTACCATGTCACCTTTTTTTTTTTATCATCTTTAATCCTCATTCCCTGAGTTGAGTACCCCAGTGGCCTCTCATTGTCATTGGACTTTGACTACTTCTCTTTTAATGTATGTTTTTCATAAGGATCTACATTTGCTTGAGGACTTTCTATATCAGCCAGAAATAAAATTGCATTGCGGATGTAATCTCTGGCCTAACATATGACTTTTGCTTACCTCAGATGCAGTTAGAGCATCACACAATCAAATTAAAATATACTCACAAGACTGTGGCATTTCCTCCCTAGTCAATTAAGATGAGATGTTTAATAGCCACTCAAGTTCTATTATAGTTGCAAAGTGTGTATCAAATGGACAGTGATATTAATCAACAAGTACATTTCATATTTAATCCCTGCAGAGAATTCTAATATGGACATGATAAAATATATGAGTTAAATATATGTGTTCTGTTTCATTTAGCATAGTTTGTTTAGGATTTTACAATTAACTAAGTGCTCCAGGATATCACTAGTTTACTAATCCTTGTCCAAATCTTGAAATAGGCTAAAAGTATTATATCACCACCTTCATTCATTTCTCTTTTTTCTTTTTGGTGGTTCTGGGATTGAAGTTTAAGGCTTCATACTTGCTATTTATCTGTTTGTGTTGCTATAACCAAATCCCTGAAGATCTGTAATTTATAGAGTTTAGACATTTATTTTCTAATAGTTCTAGAGAGTGGGAAGTCCAAGATGAACAAGAAGGTTCATTATTTGGTAAGGGAGAGTCTCTGCTTCCAAGATCATATCTTAAACCTTGTGTCACCTGGAGAAGAGGAATGTTGTGTTCTCTATGGCAGAAAGCAAAAGGGTAGATCCAAACTCCCTCCCAAGGTTGTTTACAAAAGTTTTAGTCTATTCATGATTGCTCTACCAAAATACCTCTTAAAAGGCACACTTGCAAGCACTATTGGGTTAAGAGTTAGGTTTCTAACATACAAATGTCAATTTTGCTTTATTCAAACCATGATAGTTACCTTATGGATGAATGTCCTAGATAGGCTCACCAGTGTCTCTTTGGGCCTTTTTTTCCTTCATCTTCATGTTTCACATAATTTTTGCAACAATTCTGCATTATATTACGCTCCAGGGAAGACTCGCTGAGTTGATAATCAAGGTATACTTACTTAACAGTGAAAATGAACTTGCTACTACATTTGGAGGACACATTTTTATAAGAATTTTTAGGAGAACTTATCCTAACGCAAGGACTAGGACTTTTAGTGATACAGCATCCCAGAGGACATGGTAATTTGAGGTCATTCACTCTGCATGGGGTGGCCTTGCCAGGCTTAAAAGAATGTCCTTTGGAAGGACAGTACTTTTCAATCAATCAAGATATGTTAGAACTGCAGGAACCTCAGGGACCACAAGGTTTAGCCCTCAAAGAGTGGATTAACTGAAGGGACTGAAGCGAGAACTCAAATATTCTAATCACTGGCTTAACTGTTTTTGTGTATTGAGGTAAATATATTTCACTTTGAGTTTCTTTCAAGTAAATGAGAGTTATTTTTGTCATTAAAATTATCAACCCTTAACATTGAGGTTGTAAATGCTTCAAATATGGAGATTACCTATTGCAGAATTTAGCATATAGAACAACCCAATGTTTCATGGTTGCTTAATTAGTCCGTTTTTTTTATTTATACAGTGTGCATCATAGGTCTGAAGTTTTTATTTGGGTGTTTTAAAAACTGAGTTGAAAGGCACTAGGTTTCTTAGACTGGACTGGATAGTGATATATTTCTGCTTCTTTTTGTGTCATAACTTCATGCTTTTCTTACCTCTGTGCCCAATCTCATTGTCTCTGCAGGCAGCAGTGTGGAATTTGATTGGTGTGCGGTCTCCAGTATCCGCACACTACGTCAACTTGGCAAGAAGACTGTGGTGGTGAATTGCAACCCTGAGACTGTGAGCACTGACTTTGATGAGTGTGACAAACTCTACTTTGAAGAGTTGTCATTGGAGAGAATCCTAGATATCTACCATCAGGAGGTAAGGAAAGAAAAACAAAAACCAAAACAAAACAAAAAGAGGAAGAGACACATATTCAGGACATACTTTGAATATAACTGTATTCACATATGTTGATTAATATTATGATTTCTCTCAGGAGAAAGAACTGCCACTGTCTTTCATTGCCTAATTTTATAGCAAAACTAGAAAAAATCACTCCAGCTTTACATTCTTAAGGCCTTGGCACAGAGCGATTGTTGAGATATAAATTTCCTCTCTTCTTTTCAACTGTAGTGAACACTCTACTTGGTAACATGTACCAGCTACATATTCAGAAGTACAGGATGGCCCCTCATAAATATTTTGCAGAATTATTTGATTTGCTATCTAGATATATAATAAACAGCTTCTTTCTATTCTATGTGAAATGATTTAATGGTGAAGAGTTCTCAGAGGAAAGAGGTCAGCTTTTTACCAAGGATCAGTGAATTGCTTAGTCTATCAAATGAAGTTGTTACTTTAACTTTATGATCAATGAGTCTATTCTGAATGATTTTAGTTCCTGTATGGCCTTCTCTTACTGTTTCTGCTCCATCTTCATTCCAGTGTAATTGAGTGTATCTTCACTGTGGATTGGTATGATTGTAGGTTGCTGTAAGTCTGTAGAACAAGCTATCTTGCAATGATATAAATAACTACAGGAAAATTCCATACTGATGTCCAGTAGTTGTGCCTTCAGTGTTATTCTAGTTTCTTACCTCAGAAACTCAATCCTATGTATAAAATATGGTCATTTAAAGAAAAAAGTACCAAATTGGAGTCACAATTAAGCAATTCTGCTTTAGATTAGAAATCTCACTGACTTGCACAAGCTTATTAATTCTCTGTGCTCCATCTTTTTTTTTGTTAATGAATCATATGTGGATTAAAGAACACTACATACAGGTACTGAGAGGCAACCTGGAATTTATGGTTGAAGTCACAATATACTGTGTAATGTATAGTGCTAAAGCAATATGATAATTTTATTATTATAAATAAAAGTAAACAAATTTAGGACATATATATATATATATAAACATAGTTGGCCTACTAATCTTAATATAGCATAATGAAATTGATCTCTGACATAGTTTTTCTAGTGATTCCTTAATATTTTCAGACAAATAAGTGGGCATCAAAACAAATGCATTCTACAGTATTTCTTGTAAATGCCAGGTTCAGCAGGATGGATAGCTATCTACTACCTTGAAGACAGCAACACGATTTAAATATGTGAAAAATCAAGTACTTGCTCAAAATTGTTAAAAATATTAAAGGCAATTGCAGCAGATACATTACATATTATTTCTTGGTGTAATGTTTTAAGTAATTATTAGAAACTTGTATGACTGCTTTTAAATGTAGCTATACATGAATACTAATAAAATTCTTTTAATATAACTGATGCATCATAGAAATAAGTTGGCTCTTATTTGAAAATAATCAGCATATATAATATTGAATTACTGCATATAAAGTTACAGTGTTATGTTGGAGAATATATGAACACTATTCCATCAATGTAGTCTTTAGATTATTCCACAGGAAATATTATCTAACATCATACATACATATAAACAGGTGTACATAAATGCATGTGTTTCTTTTTATGATACTGCTGTGCATCTTGCAGCAGGCTTTATAATGATGCTCTATTGTCTCTGATAATGGGCATGTCTTTACCTGCAGAAGACTGTTCTTATCTTACCTGGGATGTGCTAGTGATACTGAAGGCACTGAGGTATTCAATAGTAAATTTGTAGAAAATTGGAATCATGTCCAAACGCTCAGAAGCACACTTCTGAGTCTCTTTGAGGGGCAAGAGGCTCTCCCAGGAATGCATAGCTCTGTGTGATGGGGTGTCTTGGTCTAATTCTGAACCAAGGCTGTTTTCATGGCAAAAAGAAGACCCTCTAACAAAAAAACATTAAGGGTAAGTCAGAGAAGTAACATTGCATATAGACAAGGCAGTCTTCAGTGCAAAGGTCTTCATTCCTGGCTGGGGAAGAAGTGCTGAATTCTCCTCCCCACTTGTTTTTATTTTTTTACTATAAGATGTTCTGGTGGCCCCCTCTTAAGCTTAGTTATTCTTTATAATTTTGTGCCAAGGTTCTGCTCTCTGAGAAGAGATTTGAATTTTGAGTATTTTTGTTTGTTTTTTTTTTGCTTGCCTACAGTCATGTGGAGAAGGTCAAGAAAGCGAGATGCTGGTGTCTGCCGTTTACAAGACTGATAGGTGATAGTTTGCCTAGTCCATAACTGTGCTTAGGACACTCCTCATAAGAGAAACATGTTCTTAAAGTATCTAAGTAAATGACAAGAAATTGATTCATTGTTTATAGAAGTGGCTTTCTTAGAACTGTTTAGACTTAAGTGGTTATGATGACTATGGGCATTTACCTGTGTGGGATACCAGGTTCCTATACCTTTGCCCATACAAATTCTGTGCTTGGAAGTAGGGACAATTTCGACCAGATTCTTCCATGAGGCTGTCCTATATTAACTTCATCCAACAAACATGTTCTCAGCCTCAATTCCTTTTGCTGCATGGGCAAAAACTGCACTGGCATCATATTTTTACTCTATAGCATTCCTGTGGACATGATTTATTTTCCCTGTGATGAGAATTTTGTTTTGCACTGAAAGTTTTTCTGTCTACCACTTTTCCAAAAGAATGTTTTAGAAATAGCTCTTCTCTTATCTCTTAACTTTAACCACCTCTGAAAATAGCCAGAAAAGTATGTTAGCCTAACATTCAAATATTTGGTACATTGCTTGAGTATAGTTGCTTCACATTCTGTACAATTGAACTCATATGCCAGCTTTGTGTTTGCTAGATAAGAGATAGGGCAAGTCACTTCACCTTCATTGAGCCTCAGTTTCTTTATCAATAAAATGGTGTTAGCAATAATCACCTCAGAATACTGTGATGGTCAAAACAGATGGTTCTGAATATATAATATAGTCCTCAATAAAGAGTAGCAGCTACTGTCTTATTCTTGGTTTGAAAGTTGTTAATTTCTTGGAAAATACAAGTCATTTTAGTAGAGCTACTTTGAAAACTATTGAAGTATTTTGTTAATTGAGATCTTTTTATTGAGGTTTAAACTCCTATGTAGTCCAAATGACTCTACCTTTTGCTACTTTCCCTTAAATTGAAAAAAAAATAGTTTGAAGATTTTCACATAAGACTTTTCATATACATTTAATTGAAGAATTTGTTTTCAAGCTTCTAAAATCTTAACAATGCTAATAAACCAAAATTAGTAAGAAAAATGATTATGAGAGTAAGGAAAATAATTCTCCTTGAAGGTTTTGCAAAATGTATATTGAACATATTTTAAAATGATGAATAGCATAGCTTAAGTACACTTATAAATATGGAGAATGGTGGATTATATTTTCAGCATTGTTTACAATGCCTTTAAGCATTTGATTCCAGGACATTTGTTTAGGCAGTACTGTAACTGCTCTCATCACAGAAATTAGGTTTGCCCCTTATAAGCACATTTCAGAACAATTCAAATCATGATAAAATACATTTGACATGTATCTATCACTTCAGTAATTCTACCAACATTCATTAGTGAGTCATAAGGGCACATACTAACTATGCCAAGCACAATGGCCTATTAGATAATTAGATATCATAGTTTTGATATTAATAATCATATCTTATTTATGCAGTTACATTATACATAGGATTTTTAATGTTTATTATGTTACTTAATATACGTAGCATCCTTGTTAGGTATTATTGTCCTAGTTTTATAGAGAGGAAGACTGAACCATGGGATGAGTTAACTAAGATAGTAAGGGACTTCTAACTGCAAATTCACCTCTCTCTCATTACATCTCAACCTTATTACTCTAATATCAGTCTTTGGAAACTTTGGGATTTGAGGGCTAATTATTTTTTTGTCTTGAAGTCTTCACAGCTAATAATAGATTTGGTTTAGTAAGGGAACATAACTAATGAAGCATCCAAATTAAGTCTAATGATTCAGTGATAAAGTGAAAAGTGCTGTTAAAGTGAGTTGGAAGGAAATAGGAACTAAAATCCATTACTGTGTACTGATGATAAGTGCTAACGTAGCAGGAAAGAAGAGATGGCAGTTCAAGGTGGGAGGTGGAATGTAGACTGGACTTGAACTTAGGGTAATTAGAGGAGAGATAACTGAGGGAACAGAAGAAAGGAAACAACAGCCAAAGAAGTTTCAGTGTTACAGAGTTTGCTAGTGGGAATGTACATAGTTGGGAATAATGAGTAGAATAGTCTAACTGGGTTGAGAGGGGTAATGTTAGGTAAAACTGAAAAATCTTAAATGACTTGAGAACTGAGTAAAGAAATAACCAATATTAACTCAAAATGGATCAAGGATCTTAATATCAGACCCCAAACTCTAAAGTTGGTACAGGAAAGAGTAGGAAATACTCTGGAGTTAGTAGGTATAGGTAAGAACTTTCTCAACAAAACCCCAGCAGCACAGCAACTAAGAGATGGCATAGATAAATGGGACTTCATAAAACTAAAAAGCTTCTGTTCATCAAAAGAAATGGTCTCTAAACTGAAGAGAACACCCACAGAGTGGGAGAAAATATTTGCCAGCTACATATCCGACAAAGGACTGATAACCAGAATATATAGGGAACTTAAAAACTAAATTCTCCCAAAATTAATGAACCAACAAAGAAATGGGCAAGTGAACTAAACAGAACCTTCTCAAAAGAAGAAATTCAAATGGCCAAAAACACATGAAAAAATGCTCACCACCTCTGGCAATAAAGGAAATTCAAATTAAAACCACACTAAGATTCCACCTCACCCCTGTTAGAATAGCCGTCATTAGAAACACCACCAACAACAGGTGTTGGTGAGGATGTGGGGAAAAAGGAACCCTTTTACACTGCTGGTGGGAATGTAAACTAGCACAACCACTCTGGAAAAAAATTTGGAGGCTACTTAAAAAGCTGAACATTGATCTACCATATGATCCAGCAATACCACTCTTGGGGATATACCCAAAAGACTGTGACACAGGTTACACCAGAGGCACCTGCACACCCATGTTTATTGCAGCACTATTCACAATAGCCAAGTTATGGAAATAGCCAAGATGCCCCACTACTGATGAATGGATTAAGAAAATGTGGTATTTATACACGATGGAATTTTATGCAGCCATGAAGAAGAATGAAATGTATCATTCACAGGTAAATGGATGGAATTGGAGAACATCATTCTGAGTGAGGTTAGCCTGGCCCCAAAGACCAAAAATCATATGTTCTCCCTCATATGTGGACATTAGATCAAGGGCAAACACAACAATGGGATTGGACTTTGATCACATGATAAAGTGAGAGCACACAAGGGAGGTATGGGGATAGGTAAGACACCTGAAAAACTAGATAGCATTTGTTGCCCTCAACGCAGAGAAACTAAAGCAGATACTTTAAAGCAACTGAGGCCAATAGGAGAAGGGGACCAGGAACTAGAGAAAAGGTTAGATAAAAAAAAATAAACCTAGAAGGTAACACACATGCACAGGAAATCAATGCAAGTCAACTCCCTGTATAGCTATCCTTATCTCAACTAGCAAAAACCCTTGGTCCTTCCTATTATTGCTTATACTCTCTCTTCAACAAAATTAGAGGTAAGGGCAAAATAGTTTCTGCTGGGTAGCAAGGCGGTGGGGGGGGGAAGGGAGGGAGTGGGGGGGTAGGGGAGGGAGTGGGGGAAGGGGGAGAAATGACCCAAACATTGTATGCACATATGAATAAAAAAAAAATAAAGTTTCTTTAAAAAAAAAAAGAAAAGTGGGGTGCAGGAGAAGGAAAAATAGGTTTTTATTTAGGAAAATAATGCAGAAGGGTATTGATTATAGAGTACATGGTACAAATTCATCATCTTAATACTTAAAAAAATTCCATCCATGCAAATGTCTCAAGTGATATTCATGTGTAGTTTTGCAGAAATCCTGCATATATTTTAGGCTATAATTGCCTGGAAAGTCAAAACTATTTTATTTCTGTGGTATAATTTAGAATTATCCCGTGATAAGAGAGATAATGTCACAATCACATTAAGCATTTCCTGTAAGGACATGTTGGCAATATAAACACGGTTGTTCATTCATGATGAAGTTGATTCAATGGTGCTATTGTGATTCTTTTCCAGGCATGTAGTGGCTGCATCATATCAGTTGGGGGCCAGATTCCAAACAATCTGGCCGTCCCTCTATACAAGAATGGCGTCAAGATCATGGGCACGAGCCCTCTGCAGATAGACAGGGCTGAGGATCGCTCAATTTTCTCAGCTGTCTTAGATGAGCTGAAGGTGGCTCAGGCACCATGGAAAGCTGTTAATACTTTGGTAAGGAGAATCAAGCATCTCTTTTTAATATTGTTTCTTCAAGAGTCGTAACCTGAATGTTGACTACTGGAGATGTCAACTAGAGGGCATATGGAATGCATATGATGCTTAGTATATTTACTGTAAAGTTGCCATATTTTCATGATTGCACTTAAAATGCTGATTATAATAGGTAGCAATATTCTCATTAAGATTCAGACAATGAAAAGAAGTTCAAGCTATTCTTGAACTAGACTTGATATTTAGAATTAGAAACTGGGAATTTTATGTATTTCAATGTCCAATTTACATTTTAATGGAGTCTTTTGAGAAAATGAATAAAGAGAGTTAGGTTGTCCCTTGATCTAAGATACTAGTATGCATTTCTGTTGCATATTTTAAACTATTCATACATTTTTGTTGTTGTTTCTATTAATTAGAATGAAGCGCTGGAATTTGCAAAGTCTGTGGGCTACCCCTGTTTGTTGAGACCTTCCTATGTTTTAAGGTAATATATTATTGTCTGAACAATGATATAAAAATTGGGAGATACAGACATGCATGCTGTATGCTAATAGCACTAGGTTTTGGTGTGGAGTAATTTGCAAATTCATCCAAAAACTCTATATCATCACGGCCAGTGTGAGGACCAATGTGTGGTTCTCCAACTTAATGCCTTTCCTTTAAGGAGTGGAAACAGGGAGAAACTACAGTCCTGCATCTAGAAACAAAGCTTTAAGGCATCTGTTTGCAAATTAAGGGAGGGCAGTTTTACATAGAGAAGAGGACGCTTAAAAAATAAATTGGAACATTGCTTTCTAGCATCTATTTTCTGGTGTTCAGAAATGACAGCTTCTCTTTGACTGTTCTCAGCACCTTCTGATTGTGCCTTTGTTTTGAAATTTTGAGTTTTCGAGAACAGATTTTTTAATAGCTAAATTATAATGGTGAGGAACAGAGGCAGTAAGGGTCTTTTATATTAAACTTTGAAACTAAGTTCTATCATGAAAGGAAAAGTTTGAATTATCACTTACTCTCTTCAGATGTTACCACATGTAAGGAACCACTTCACTGAACAGGGGATAATAAGAGAAACACAATTTGCTGTGCACAATTTGAAAGTGTAAATGGAATTTGAGATGGGATCCTTTAAAACAATGAAAAATTTCAAATGAGGTGGAAAATTTTCCTTTTTTATTGAAATAACATTTGTGTAAACCACAGTCTAATAATACTACTTCTTTGAAGAACTAATGTACATTAATTTAAACAACATGCAGACATTTAAGGAAGGATTGGAGAAAAATACCATCTTTATTGCAATCTATATCTTTGTTTCAGTTCTCTAGACTTTGAATTATCAACAATTGCTCTAGTTTCCTCTCTTAAGCAGATGAAGCAATTAAAGCTCTTTATGTAGAAATTTATAATAGAAAAGAACAGGTAAAGAAAATACTACTTTCTAAAAGGAAGTAGAAAGTAATTTTCTCCCCTATTCTTCAGTTCCTTTTATTGTTCCTCCTTCCCCCTCTTCCCAACTATTTTGAAAATATCAAAATTCAGCATAAATTGATTTCAGATAGCATTGTTTTTTAAGTATTTAAAAGGAAGGACACAGTTGAATAAGTTTCAGTCAGATACTGCACATTATATTTGCAAATGTTACTAAGAATTACTTCTTTTGTAATAGGATGATTTATTTCATATCAAGATGACCTGCCTTAACAGTGTTAAAATCAGCTGATGGTAGTAAACTCTGAAGAAACAGGGTTAGATAAATTATATTATGGGTGGAATCCTGTTAAAATGTAAGAACTACCTGGAATAAGCAAAGTATTAAAACAGTAAATCAAAAAGAGCTAACCTTAGGGAAGTATAGTCTCTAGGGTTCCCTTTGGGCTTATCACCAACTCTGGCAACTTTTTACTTTGGCTCATTGTACTAGTGATTAAGTGGATTAAAACTGAATTTAAGAAAAAGATAGCTTCTTATTTAGCCCAAACTGGAACTGGATATTTCCTAGAGCTTTTCTAAGAAGCAATCAAGTCTGTCTGCTTTACTTATGGATTGGTAAAATAAATTGACCCACTTTTTTCTTCTTGCTTTTCTAGTGGGTCTGCCATGAATGTGGTATTCTCTGAGGATGAGATGAAAAGATTCTTGGAGGAGGCCACTAGAGTCTCTCAGGTAGTGTTAAATGTCCTCCTGGTGACCTTTACTCTACTGTCAATTGCTATCTTATTTTATAGGCTGTTTTTCTTTTCACACAAATTGTTAGCATGATTCCTTCCTTCTTCAGTTTTTTACATGTGAGAATAAGAAAACTCAAAAGCATTAAACTATATTCTTAACGTAGTGGAAGAAGAAGGCCTGTACATGTTTGATCAAAGCAGATTTATAAGTTTTTAGACTCTTAAGTATCTAAAAGGTTAAGCATCTGTGTTGGTTAGTTTTGTGTCACTGTGACCGAAATACCTGAGAACAACTTAAAGGGAGGAATTTTGGCTCACAGTTTCAGAGGTGTCAGTCCAGCATGGTTGTGAGGATATGGCAGACTAGAGTAATTCCCATCATGACAGCTAGAAAGAAAAGTGGGAATATTTTCAGTGGAATTTCTCCTTTTACACTTTTTATTCCCAACTTGGCCTCAAGCTTATAGGACAGTGTCACCTACATTCAGGATGGAGCTTCCCCATTTAGTTAATCCTCTTTGGAAATACCCTTATAGACACATCCAGAGGTGTGTTTTACTAATCTAGATACTGATAAATCCAATCAAGTTGATAATCAAAGTTAATGATCGCAAGTCCACCTCTTGTCAGCTTGACACTAGAACACATTTTCTTAAACCATAGCAGCACCCTTGTTGGATGCTGGATAAGTTTCCTGTTGTGATAGTGAAGTTATTCCTAGGAATCTAAGTCTCAAGGGCTGCCCAATCATGCTCATTATTGATAGAAAGTCCCCTGGTTCACCTATTGATTTTGTCATTTTGGCATATTTTGTTTGTGAGTTAATAAAAGTGTTTATAATTTTGTAATGACTATCACCTTCCTACATCGGCCCCAGATTTTATTTTCTCCTTTGACACTACCATGGTGTGATCCATTTAAGATTTACTCAGTGGGGTTATTGATCTGCAGACCTTGTATTGTAGAGGATGAAAGTAATGTTTTCCTTTTAAAAGCTTTCCAAAGCTAGTTGGGGTTCAAAAAAGAACAACACAGAGAAGAGTTTGATGTTAGGCAAGTGGAATTTGGAAGGAGACAGAGAGTGAAATCAGATGTATTTCAAAAAGGGAATAAAGAGCATGGATTGTTCATGATCACATGAAGCTGTATCCTTTTCCTGTATGATAGCTGCTCCCCAAAGATGCTCGGGTCATGAAGAAAGTAGAGAAAGGTAAGGAGTGAGAAGAGACAAATAATGTACAGAAAGAAAATCAAGTGGGTTTAGAATTCACATTTGAGTGAAAATCAGGTAAATGAAAAGGAAATGTCTTCAGTGGGTCAGTTTTATTAATCTTCTCTGAGTGACACAAGCTGTCTTCTCCTCTATTTTATCCTTCTGTGTTATTTTGAGAGGCCACCAACTATACCCGTCATCTGAGTGATGAGACAGGGTTCTCTTCTTTTCTTCCTGGAACACTGATTCTCATAAGACTTCTACTCAGTAGAAGATTTAATTTTTTTTCTGTTAGAATATAGATAGTACTTACACAAGACCAAAGTTTTATAATAGAGATGTCCTGATTGAATATTTTCTGGTTTGAGTCTCACTATCAAACTACAGCAAAATTTGGGATGCTCAGTTTAATGTATTTAGAGTAAATCCAGCCCCTATCAATCATTTATGCACTAATTCATATAGGGTAGCTGCTAGATACTGGCATGGTTCTCACTACCAGTGTATATGCTCATGGAAAAAATATAGCACTAATAAGAGGACTTTCTTTGCTAGGAAATCAGAACACCACAAAATTACAACTAAATATGATAAGCAATAAGCATTGAAAATAGAGAAAATTTCAGATCCTGAGGTAGAGTATAAAAGTCTTGGAGTCCTGTCATTGAAGAAAGGATTTTTAAACTGATGTCTGATGGTTGAATTAGAGTTAATTGGGTGACAGTTTTACATGGTGAGTGAAACTAGAAAGAGAGAAACAGTACATGGTAAGCCTCAAAGGTGAGAAGAGCATAGAGTTCCTAGAAACTGGTAAAGTATTTGTTGTATGGCTAGGATACCAAATGTGATATGATTAGTTTACTGCAATGCAGAAAGAATAAATTGTGGTGCAAGAATGAATTTATGGAAAGAGGTTAGCCAGCTATTTGCTATACGTCAAGGTAGAGATGGTAGTGCCTTGGATCAGATTAATAATACTGAAGGTGGAGATCATGTGCCTTGAAGTAATTAGTGAATAGATGGAGGTTGAGGGTAAAAGAGGATATAGGATGACTCTGGAGTTTCTGTCTTGGACACTTGAATGGATAGAGTGACACTTATAGAGAGAGGGGACAGGAGAAGAGGTTTTAGAGGAGGAAATCACATATTCATTTTTTGATCTTTTGAATGTAAGCTGCCTTTGAAGAATCCAAGTGGAAATGATTTGAAGGCAAAGGGTTATATGAATTTTGAATTGAAGGTCAAGATCATGGCTAGAGATAGGCTAAGAGTATAGAATTTGAAATAAATAGCTTATCCTTTAAATTGAAGCTTTGAGAGTGGAAGCAGTCACTGAAGGGAAGAGTATAGAAGAAAGGAACAGCTAAAGACAGACATCAGAGAAATATCAGCATTTGAAGGCTAACTGAGAAAAAAAGAACCATGACAGACCCTGAGAAAGAAGAATGAACATAGACTTACAGATACCAAAATGCAAAGCATCTTAAGGAGACCAGCAATGCATAATGTTGCAGAAAGATTGAAATTTATTAAGAATTTTTTCCTTCTCAGTATAGGGGTATTTTATAAATGTATTTAGTGGGCCATGGAGGAAGGTGCAGTTGTCACCCTTTTCCCCAAATCCCTTTACCTCTGGGAACAGCTGTACCCTAACTGTCATGGTAGCTGATGACACCTACCATCTGCATTCTTCTCTGGAAAAACTCTCTTAAATGGGAGCATCATCAACCCAGAGGCAAGACTCCTTACCTCACATCTACTCTCAAAGTTTTAGAAAATGGCTGACTTTGCTTCAGAATGGGACTAGCTCTGTGGTATAAGTCGTGCTCCAGAAATCTCTGTGGGGTAAGGCTGAGAATAACAAAAGCATTAGCTTTTTCCTGCAGCCCCAGCTTGCTTTCTAACTCCACCAATAAATCATTTGAACCAGGCTTCTCTAGAGAACCTGACAAGGATGACTGGTAAACTTCATGTGTGTTTTTGAAGTTATATTCTTATCATCATGATAGAAAAGAAAAAAAACTCATGAGTATCAACAACAAAAAAAAAAAATTAGGCCAGCTATGGTGAACATCCAGTATTTTTAAAAAGAGGCAACTGACATGGAGAAAAATCATTTTGCTTAATAAATACTTCTTTGTCTAATAGACTTTTGAAGAGAAGAAATAGTGGGAATTTACCTGATTTAATAATAAATTTTAAGATGGAAGAAACTTATACAAGGCCTAAAACACTATTTTTCCCACAAAATTCAATTGTATTTAAAATGTTCTATTCAAGGAGCTATGTTAAATTTAACACATATCCAAGGTGATCAGTTTCATGATAGTGGCCAGAAAGGGTTAGAGAAATATTCAGGGTGGAGATAACATCTGAGCTATGCCTTGAAGGGTGAGTTACAGTTCGAAGGATGAATCTGAGGGGCAAAAGTAGAGGACATAAGAGGAATGGAGACAGGTAAATGCAGGACCTGGTAAGGAAGCAACACGTGGTCCAGGTTGCTAGAATCCAGGCCATAGAGAAGGAGACATCTAAACCTACAACATTATAAAGCAATTTCTCTTTACTCTTGGAAGAGCAATGGAGAGCAGGGTGTGGAGTCCACCCCAACGTTGTTTTGGAGCAACTGAGTGTTGCCACTTATAGATTGGTAAGCAGTCTGAAATAACCAAGAAAGGGAGCAAATGCTGGAATTAAAAAAGGAAATGGCTTTATAGTTGCCAGTGTCATAGGCTAACATCCATATAAGGCATGCTAACTTCAGGCAAAAGATTTCATCTTTAGCCCAATGAAACCAAAAGTAAACACTGCTCTCCTTCTAAGCTCACTCATAGCTCTCATATAGAGAACTAACTTAGGAAGTTGTAATTCTTGGAAAAGATGAAGGTAGGAAGAGGGAAAGAACCTAACCTAATAATTTCGAGCAATAGTTATGATGCTGGTGGTAGAGAAGGAAGTCACTTTCTGCTTCTTCCTTAGCCCCCTTTTCTCTAACTGGCTTAGAAGCCAATATTTTAGATTTAGAACTCATTCTCAGTTGCTAAGCCCTCAGAGTTGCAGAAAGACCCTCGGTCTCACTGTAAGCAGAGCATGACCTTATCTGTGGCTAATGAGGTTTATGCAATGCATTTAACCTTAACTTTCTGCAAGTATTGCCCTTGTGTTTACTTAAGGTACATAGCTTACTTGACATCATGAACATACTTTCAGCTGAAAGTCTGCTCCTCTGCTTTCCTCATTGACAGGAGCATCCAGTGGTGTTGACAAAATTTGTTGAGGGGGCCCGGGAAGTAGAAATGGATGCTGTCGGCAAAGATGGAAGGGTAAGTGCTTTATCCACATCTTCCCTATCTCTGTCTTTGTATCCTTTTTTTTTTTTTGTCTTAGCAATCTTGAAACATTTGTGGGTTAGAATTCATGATTTCAACAAAACAGGACTCTGACAGCAATGGAGAAGCTGCTCAGTCAAAAAAAATGAAAAATTCACTGACAATTCAGTTGATGTGTTGCGGGTACATGGATATCATATTTCCTGTCTTTCATACTGTTAGAATTTCTTTTTGATGATATTCAAAATTAGCTATCATCCTGTACTTATCATTCTTTTTGAATAGATTTTCTCTCTCATTTTCTTTGTCTGTGGTTTTCATTTTATGTTTCAATGAATATTATAGAAACATCCAATACTTTTCTTTATGAAGTTTCTTATTATATCCCTGGTTTTCTTCACTCTTAATTTCCCTCCTTCCCCCCTTTTCATTGACTTAATAAAGGAAAAACCAGAGTAAGGTGAACAGGATAATAACATGAAATTAGCTTACCATATCATATCTGGTGTTGCTAATACAATGAATGCCTCAGACTTTGGGGAGAAATGAAAATGTGAAGGATATTTTACTTACATTTGCTTATTGTGCTAATAAGGTATTTGTGATTTATCTTGAAATATAGGAAGCCATGATTTAGAGAGACCATGTCATTTCATTTGCTTCAAAGAAAAATGAAATGTTAAATCTTTTTTTTAACAGATTAGCAGTTTTGAGTAGGTGTTCTTTTTAATCATAATAGTTTCTACTTACCACAGAATCATATAATCTTGACTTGAAGAACTGTTAGAGATAATCAATTTTAGCCAAGTTCCAGAAAGTGGCCATCTGATTTCTTTTAAACTTGTTGGTGATATAGATTACAAATTATTGTAAGATTATGAATGTTCTTTGCCTTGTTTTTTTTTTTTCCTTTTTTTGTGGTGCTAGGAATGGAACCCAATGCTTGGCACATGCTAGGCAAGTGCTCTATGACTGAGCTATATCCTGGCTTCTTAGTACTGTAAGATTACATATTGGGTCTTTCTGGAGGGGCATCTTCAGAATTCTCTATCTTGAGCTAAACTTTGCTTTTTTGGAACTCTCATTTCCACTCTCCTGTTTCAAATCATAAATTTAATCTCTTCTTTAAACTTTAAAATATTTGAAGATAGAGATATAAAACACCTCTATGGGGGTGGAGGTTTTAAGACCCTCTTGGAGACACGTGCGTTTGTTCACATATTGTGCTGTTAAAGGAGTGCTGCTCTTTCGGTCTGGCGTGGCTTCAGATTGCTGCACTATGCACTTACTCTAGCTTCTTTCTCTCAGATGTCAGCCATTACAACTCATCTTACATACTCTCTTTTGGAAACTTTACAGGTCATTCACATAATTTTAAACTGTCATATTCATAAATGGGCATATTACTTCATGCATATTATGATTCTCTTAGTCTCAGTGGGATGATTGCCTTCTATTTTTTACACACACACAGACACCCACCCCCCCCACATTGAACTCTTACTGTGGGTCAGCTGTTATGTCACATATTTATACTTTGTATCCATTCTCTTTCATTTTGCAAGCATTCTGTGAGACAGGTGTCATTGTTATTCCCTCCTTATTACAAATCAAGGTTAAGCTGCCTTGCCCAGGTTCCAGAGCTCACAAGTGAAATGGGAAGGAGAGAGACTCTGTTATTCTTAAAGTCACTTATAAATCTGACAATTTAATTTACTTCCATGTAATTTACTGAAGTCTTTTATGGCCACCCAGTTTTTCTCCTCTTTCAGCTTCATTATTTCCCAAACGCACACACACACACACACACACACACACACACACACACATACATACACACAAACACACACATTTTAGTATATATCAGTTAAGGTAGTTGAGGCCATGGACTTTGCAATCCAACAGATAAAGGTTCAAAATCCTAACTCAGTCACAAACGAGTCACATGTATTTGGTCATTTATTCTTACATTGCTTTCATTTCCTTATCTGTAAAATAGTACAGAATATTTTCTCTCTTCACTCCCTCCTCTCTCAAACTTCAATTTAAAGATCTCTTAGATCTTCAATTCTTCTTTCTAGTCCATGTAAGTTTTTCCATTTGCTTAGTTAGACATTCACCTCTCCTATTTCTTCTAGTGTCTAAAAGGTAAGGATACCTTCAGTGCTCCCAAATTCTATAGTTTCCTGTACTATTCTCCAAAGTTAATATGAGTTAGTTTAGTTTTCTTCATTTCCTGTTTTTTTATACCTATGCTAATGAGTGGAAGAAAGAGGTGAATTCTCAGCCACTCTCAGCTCCTTTTGAGGCTACCTGTCACTGAATAGGGAGGCTTAGATATTGTGTGCAACTCTCTATTTTGCTCTCATCAGCAACTTAGCAAAAGAACTGGTCAGTGCTTGAAGCATCTGCTAGAATCAAAGAGGTGGACAAAAGAGTAGCTTACTTGAAGTAGGTACCTGACAACTCTTTCTAAAACTTCTTTTGGCAGGTCATCTCCCATGCTATCTCTGAACATGTTGAAGATGCAGGCGTCCACTCAGGAGATGCCACTCTGATGCTGCCTACACAAACCATCAGCCAAGGAGCCATTGAAAAGGTCATCATTTATAAGTGAAAGTGGAAGGGAAACAGCAAAATATGAAAACCAAACAAAACCCTCAGTTTTTTTTTTCTTTTTAAATTGGCTAGCTATGTAAGACGTGCTCCAGGCTAAAAATTCAATGAGAGGAACTTCCTTGCCCTTAGTCAGCTGAGTATTTTTAAAGATTATTTCTTTCACTGTCCTTTAGATCTTGTTTGGTTGTGTCCTGTGTAGTTGTTTGCAACCTAGTCTGCCTCCACACCACCCAGGGAGCTTGTTAAAATACATATTTTTTGGGCTCCTCCCTGCTATTTCTAATTCCATAATTAATTCTAATTCTGAATGCCTGAGTTTGGATTTTTACCAAATCGACCAGTGTTACTGTTGCTGCTGGTCTGGGGACACACTGAGAGAATGAATTGTTGCTACAGGGGATCCTGATGTTTGAGAGCAGCATGCAAAGTGATGCTTCTCATGAGTACTGGGGAAGTTATGAAGCAGTCACTTGGGAAACTTCAGGAACCCATGCTTTTATTCTTCACTTTTACCCTCTCCTCAAGCCAGCATTTTCTAACATGTCTCTTCTGACCCCTCTTTGAAAGCCACTTCTCTAAAGAACTTCCCAAGAAAGATGACTTTGCTTCATCTTTAGTACTCAATACATGTGGCCTTTTGTACACATAGGGCTTGTCATCTTAAGTCACTCTTGAGGATGTCCCACTGGTCTTCAGGTATGTTGTATGAGGTTGGCCTGTTCACTGAGTGTTTCTAAAGAAACTTCCATCAGAATCCAAGGTGCCCTGTACATTGAGCTATATTCTGAATGTCTTTGTTCTAGAATGTGAAGTAAACAGGATGCTTTGTAATAGTAGCAGCATAAAAGGAAAAAAAAAAGACTCCAGGTTTCAAATGTGCTTCACTTTCTCATGTCAGGATGAATGACCTAGAAAAACTCAGATCTTTCCAAATCTCTCAGATTTTAATGTGTCACAAATTGTACTTCTTTATGCACCCAATTAAGTTGCTGACCCACTCTTGTAACTATAATGAGTGAGCAGCTCTTGCTTTCTGTATTCAGTGCCCTCTCTTGGCATAGGGACCTTCTGGCTCTGATTACATATAGGAATTCCTACATGTGACATGCAGACATGCAGGGCCTCCCTGCAGGCAAACACTGTTTCCTCTGACCATAATATCTACCCTTGTAGAGTTTAGGGCAACACAAAAGCAACATAAAAAACATCTCCCTGGTCTCTTTGCAGTACCCTATAATTTCAGGGCCTGTACCTCTCAGCAGGTAGGTCATTAGATTGATAGAGAGTTTGGACTGCAGTTTCTGGTGCTGAAGCAACTAGACTGAAAGGATTTCATGTAAGCCGCTATAAGATCAGAGTATATAATTGCAAGAGAAAGGTTATTTGGCATACAAATAATCCTGTAAAATTACTTGGTCTTTCTTCTGCTATCCTGTCATGACTATTTAGTGTGTGTTATTTTGTTAATAGAAACATAATAATGCCCCCTATTTATTATTATTATTATTTGTTTGTGGGTTAACAAATGTACAATATTTTCTTTAACAATATGTCATTATTCTTTTTCTCTAGGTGAAAGAGGCTACCCGAAAGATTGCAAAGGCTTTTGCCATCTCTGGCCCATTCAATGTCCAATTTCTTGTCAAAGGAAATGATGTTTTGGTAAGAAATACCAATGTACTTGCAAGGTTTTGATTTCTGTGTCTCTAGTGATCTCTGTGAACACCAGCCACAAAGCCACTGAGAACCCTGCAGCTGCTTGTATCTGAGAGTCAGATGTTGTGAGCATATAATGCCTATCTTCTTTGAAGTCACAAGCTGTTAGTGGCACTGATATGTCATTCACAACTTTGTTAAGCATTGGATCCACTGGAAAGAAGATCACTGTATTTCATCCACTGTGTAGTGTAGATGGATACAGTATATATGTTAAAGTAAACCTTGTGGGTAAAGTGTTCATAAATTACTTCACTGAAGTTCTGCTTTCTCCTTATCCAGAGAAGAAAGCTGTTTTGAATACCATTTGCAAAAAGATTAACAAAATAAATTTAAATTAGGTTATTCCTAATTGTTTTATTCTACTTTATTTAACCAATCAGTAACTAATATTTATTCATCACCAATTACATACAGTCATACAGTGGTTACACAGATATGTAAGACAGTCCCTGCTCTCAAAAACCTTTTAACTTAGTAAGGACTGAGAAGAAAGTAAATTTGTAGATCACTACAAGGTAGAGTATAATAGCTGTTTTGGGGAGATGTTGTATAAATAGAATGATTTTAGAGTTAAAGAGCAGAGGAGCATATTTACCAGTGTGTGTACACCCATATGCATGAGCTGATCTGGATCGAATCATCAAAGATTTTGTATTGTGAGGGAGGTTACAGAATGGATAGAATTTTGACAAGTTAAAGAAGTAGATTCATGGGTTTAAACCTTTGAAAGAAAGTAGGGTACAGTAGATATTACATATGGGCATACGATCATCTACAAGGGTGAGACGACAGCATATTTCAGGAGAGAGTGAGTAGTTAGTTCTGTGTAGCAAGATCATTTTTCTAAGTAAATAATGGAAGGTAAACTTGAAAAGTAGGACTGGGGCCAGGAAGGTGGTATCAGATAAAATATAGAGGTCCAATGAAACAAGAGGATAGAAAGCTTTTGGGGATTAGACTTTAGTCTGAGGCCAACGGGAATCCACTGAAGATTTTTCAGCAGGGTGTGGTGCAGCATTAAGCTAAATCAATCAGCAGGGCACAGGGAATGAGGCAGGGAAATAGGATGGAAGAAAGTCAGAGTTCAAAGATACTGACTAAAAGGAAACAGAGGAAGTACCAGCAGTGGGGCGGAGGGGGCTAGGGTTAGCAAAACAAGTGCTGGTCTTCAGTTAATAACAGCTGGAAGGCAAGTAGCAGAGAGAATGTTGATATTGTTGTTGTTGGCTTTCATCATCTTCGCTCTCTTTTTCTGAATTTTGTGATCTCTTCAGGTAATTGAGTGCAACCTGAGAGCTTCTCGATCCTTCCCTTTTGTTTCCAAGACCCTTGGAGTAGACTTCATTGACGTGGCCACAAAGGTGATGATTGGAGAGAACATTGACGAGGAACATCTTCCAACATTGGAACGTCCCATAATTCCTGTTGATTATGTTGCAATTAAGGTAACATTAAAGAAAATTTATTAGCCATTTTATGATCTCCAATGAAATTAAAAGAAAATTCACCATCAAAAATCTTATGACTTTATGAAGCTTTTAATTAAAGTGCTGGCCTGGGGATTTGTACTCTCTTTCAATAAAGCAATGTAGTTGCACTAAAAGTAACCATACATTATTGTGTATTTACAGAATTTAAAAAAAATCTAAAATTGCAAAACTTCAAAAACAAACAACCAAGTAATTTATAAGCTATGTTTATGTTTATGCAGTGGACACATCATGGTGCCAGTTTAGCTGGTAAAGAGAAATTCTAGACATATCTTATTAGGATAAGGCTTGACTTGTGCCAAGTCTTCAGGAATACATGAATCTCGTAAAAGTGGCTATACTGAGGGGTTGGTTAAATTCTTACAACTTTGGCCACCTACTTTGTTTGTATTTTCTGCAGTGGCACAGTTTTGACCTTTGGAAAATTGAGATTACAGTTAAGTGTTTACAGTGATGTTGTGAGAGCGATGGAATTGAAATTGTATTTTAATAATATCCAAATATTAAGGCCATTTTACTCTTGTAGCTGCCTCAGTATGATTATGAACAGAGTATTTACAATTACGACCTCTAACTACTTCACTGGACAGGCATGACAGCATTATTGCGATATATAAATACATTTGGATTTGTTAGATGAAGTACATGATGAAACTATTTTATATTGTGTGATATATTTTGTGACATTGACATATTTTGGATACCTTGAAAAGGTTCCTGTTCTTATATGTGCTCATGGATTCAACCATAGCTATTCTACAACTGAGACTCTGACTTCTAACTTTTGTAGCGGGACCTTTAAGTTGAAGTTATGAATCAAAACTATCTCTTAATCTTGCTTAAGTTAATAATTTAGGATTCCTTGGATTTGCTAGTGCATTGAAATGGAATGTCACTTTTCATGTTGGAAAGAGGGTAATATTTTATTTTTTGCACTAAAAATAGTTTTTCACAGTAGATACATATAAATTTTAAATTCATATCTCTCTGTCCATAAGCATATGAAAATATGCTTCTTATTTTTTTGTAAGTTGATATGTAAACACATATATAACATTTCCAACAAAAAGTAATATATATGTATTGTTCAAAATGCACTTTAGTTCCACTTTACTTTTTTTCTAGTTGTCATTGTGTATGAATCTTGAATTTTTTTTCAAATTACCTATTTATTGTCTGTCTTAATAGCCCTAGTGTGGTGATGGAAACCAACAGATGGAGAATAGGGAAGCTAGATTGCAGAAGTGTAACAACTTGATTGAATTGGCCCAGAGAAATGATCCAGGCTAGAATTCCCATGATAACTTGGAGAAGTGCCAGAATAAATGGAGGAATAGTCTAGACCAGATAAATGAACATATGTAAGAAATGAGAACTTGGTATTTAGTGAACCACACTGATAAAATAATTGAAAAGGAATCATTCCTATGTTCCAGTTCATACAAAAGTTGTAGGAAAAAGTGTTTTCAAGCAGAGTGTTTTCAAGCTTTTAAGAGGTGTCAACAACAGTTTAATGTCTCAAAAGTCTGTTTATAGACAGTCATTTCTGGCAAGAAGACTTGTTGTAAGTTCAAATGAACAGAACAAGAAGAGGAATGTTCCAAAAGCATATCAAGGAAAAAAAATGTGTTTGAACTCTGTGTCTTGGGAGATCAATGCCCAGTAGACGTTTGAAACTATGCCAATAAGAAGAATATGTGCAGGCTAGATTAGAAACACTGGTCTAGACTGTCACAGGGGACCTATTTACAGAAATAATTTGTGATTATTTAACCCAAGTTTTTGGCCAAGATCTCAACACATTCTTGGAAATGAGTTTTAAAGCTATTTTTCAAGTCAAATGCTTGGACCAAAGAGGTTTTTTTTGTGTGTGTATCTACCATAGCTTAAATGAATCCTATGAACATGATTCACTAAATATATTCAACCCGTCCTGTCCTTTTATACCTTCTCTCACATACTTTCCCTCCTTTTTATGTCTGACAGGCTCCAATGTTTTCCTGGCCCCGGCTGAGGGATGCTGATCCCATTCTGAGATGTGAGATGGCCTCTACAGGAGAGGTAACTGGTTAATGATCCAGGAATACTTTCATTAAATCTACTTTGAGATCTGTGGGTTTAGATCTGAGTATAGTAAAATGAGGTAGTAAGTAGTAAGAGGAACACAAATGTTTACTTTCAGAGTAAATACCAAAGGGTTTAAGAATTTTAAATTAAAGAAAAATATTTTACTTTTTTGGAATAGAGTCTAAATACTTATATTTAACACATAAATATGATACATATGTTCTTCATTCATTTCCACATTACCCACTGGTAACAATTTTCACATACTTCATTAGATCTTCATAGTGTAGAATCTTCAGATAAATGCAAAATCCAGGGACCACTTTTAAAGTAACTTTAACCTCTCGGGAATTATCTAAAAACTATACTGGGACTGGCCACTGGATGTCCCTCTTCACTTGTATTGGGACTGTGTCAATTTGAAGGTTCTTTAAGAATGTGAAATGTGTTTTCTCATAGATAGCTGTCAGATTCTAGAAAGTTCTCCACATGTCAGTGTCAGGACATTTTATGAATCACCTAGCCCTTGACAGACATACTTGGTACAACCTTTAGATCCTCATCAGTGCACACTGGAGTGACAACATCAGATTGTGAGGCATTGTTATTTCTCTTGGTATTAAGGCAAATCTGAAAGAGGAGAAAAATTAATTGGAACAAATATGTGATGTCTTATATGGTTGCTTGGTTACAAGCAAGATCTGTGATGAGAAGCTAAGGAGACAAGGAGGCAGGCAGGCAGTGAGGAATAAATGACTATCCTGTTTATGTTTGCACTCTTAGAAAGGGGTCTCTTAGCCTTCTTGCTACTTCTTTTAATTTAGTAAGCAAAAGAATCTCCAAACCTAGCATTATTCTTATTTGTGTTTTGTAGTGGTGGAGACCAAACCTAGGGATTTACAGCATGCTAGACAACACTCTGCCATTGAACCATTTCCTCAGCCCAAGAAAACATACCTTTAAAATGAGGATGCTACATTATGTTCCAGTTAGTTTCTTCTGGATCCATGGGGCTATTTTCAGCTGGTCCAGGGTTTGGGTTAGGGAGAGATCTATTTTTTCTCTCATGTAGCCTTCTCTAGTGGCAAGTTTGTTTTCAGTTCTTATGTCCTTTCTGCCTCCATATATGCATATTTGGAGTTGAGAGCTCTGAAAATATAAAAGAATTTCAAGTTCTTCATTGTGTCTTTTTCTAAAGTATAAAAGGAAAGAATTTGTCTTCCATTATTAGAAAAAATTATATTTCCAAGTGTCATCAAGTGTGATGTTTCAAGGTCTGATAACTGAAGTCAAGATGATAGTCGTAGTTTACAATCCGGGGGTGAAAAGGATCAAAATATGTTACATATACACACAACAAATAAAAACTCACATATATGTGTATATATATGTTTATATATATATATATATGTATATATAAAGATAGCATATGAAACCCGCAAAATACTGTTTGTAAAAGGGGAGGAGGAGGAGGTTAAGGGAATATGACAGAGGGGGTGAACTTGCTCAAAGTACACTGTATATATCTCTGGAATTATCACAATGACACCTCTTTGTATTATTAACACATGCTACTAAAAAAGAAAAAGAATGAAATCTCACTTATACTTCAGAGGGACTTTTTTAGTGTTTAAAAGGCTTGTTGTAGGATTGCCTAATCTTCTAGCTCCTGATATAATTAAGGACACTTAATTTTCTAGTGGTGAAGTGAGAATTTAAGTCTTAATCTTCACTAGAATATTTGACTACCTTCTATGGTTTCACAAAAAATCTTTGTGTCATTGTCTCTGCACTTGTGATATGATTGCACAATTGTTTTCAATAGAATGTGAATCCCATCCACTTAGGATGACATTGCTTAAGTTAGCGGTCAGTGTTTGACTGAGTAAAATGTTCACCATGTAGTAAAAAGAAGCATGGGTTTGTGTTCTAACTGAAGGTTATAATCATGAGAACTTGCCTTGCCCACTAAGAGAAAACCACTTGCCATTTGCTTAAAGAATGAATTGAGTCATCAGTGTTATTTACTATAATGGTGGTTCTGTACCCAGGCCAAATGACGATATGTATGGCAGAATTGACTCCCATCATGTTAAAATACACCACTTGTCCTCTGGTTATGGTGGCTATTTGACTTATAATTATATTATTGCACAGTTTCCCTAGATGAAGCTTCTGTATATCCTAACATTGCATGTTAGTTTTGAAATCATTTTTATGTGTAGCTGTGATATTCAGGACTAGCTGCAAGATATTTTGGTTCAGTTTATAAAAATTACAACAACTGAATGAGCTCTTTTGAGACGTTCATGTAATTATTGAATTTCTCAGAAGGCATTCTCATAATGTATATGAAATGACTCCTAACTGATAGATCAGCAGTAAGTCATTTCTACTACTGACCTGTGCATTCATGCACTGGTGCATAGTACATATGACATCTACTGTTGTTTAAACGTTAAGTCATGTTAACATTTGAAAACTCCCCACATTATGGACCAGAAGCTGTGGTTCGTATCCAAATAACTCACAGTAGAATCCAGTGTGTCGCTCCACTGAGTGCTGTTGGATAGAGAAAGAATTGCTTATTCATTCATTATGCTTAATTAAAAACATAAGATACATCTGCCCTGGCCAGCCATTGAATCCCTGGTTTCAGATTGCATGGTCTTTCTGCAACATCAATAAAATCTAGGGAAGGAGTCTATGAGTAAATTGCTCCATTTGTATGTTTTGTTTTGTTTTAGTTTTTGGTACATGTAGTTGTTTCCTGTATCTTGTATCTTATTTTTTTCATTTATTTCTAAATAGGTGGCTTGCTTCGGTGAAGGTATTCATTCAGCCTTCCTAAAGGCCATGCTTTCAACAGGATTTAAGTTACCACAGAAGGGCATCTTGATTGGAATACAGGTAAGGGGTTTGTGGCTCTGTTCATTCCTATAGTCACACACTGTGAGTGGTTGGGGCATTTGGTATGCAGAGGGAAGACTTGTTTTATACTCTACTTTTTTTTTTTTAAACAGCAGCTTATAAAAAGGAGGATATTTGTTCCCTGATTTTTGCCTTCTTTTATTGCAGTAGTCAAATACAAAAAAAAATTATAAAATAAAACAAAGAAAGTTGTTCTTTGTTTCTGAAAGTTCTGAGAGGGACTCATGGTACCTTAAGAAAGTAATCCTTCCTATTCTTTGATTAGGTGTTTTCTATAGATTTTGCTCTATAGCTCTTTCCCTTTAGTCCCTGAATATAGGCTTTCAATACAGTTGTGTCTCATTGTCTCTCCCCTGCCTTCTCCTGCCAATTCAATCATGTCTATAGAATCAACTCTTCTGCCTATAAGTACCACCTTTACATCTTGTATCCACAGTCATCTCATATTTACAACAATCTGCTGGATACCTCTATGGATGTCTTAAACTCTATTTTCCTCAAACTGAAGAAATCTTCTCTGCTGACTACTCCTTTCCTTCCTTTCTTCCTTCTTTTCTTTCCTCCTTCCCTCCCTCCCTCCCTTCTTTCATTCCTTCCCTCCTTCCTTCCTTCTTCCCTTCTTTCCTTCCTTCCATCAAGCCTTCATATTTCAATCTCTACTAAATGCCTAGTGTTCACAGGTAAATAAATGGGAATCATTTGGGAAAGTTTCTCAATCTGACATTCCAGGTTGAATGTTTTTTGGAGGGCAGTGACTGAATGGGCCTAAAAAATATTTAATAGAATACATGGAAGTTCTTGAAATAGTGTTGTTTGGTTAGGCTTATAGGTCAAAGCACGGTGAGATAATTACAAATGAATATCTTTATACAATGAAAGAGCATTATTAGCTTATTATTGCAAGTGAAATCTAAATCTTAGGGTAAAATATTGGCCAGGAAACATTTATTACCCCTTGGGATGGTTATTGCAAGAGTGTACAAATGTTCTGTTTATAAATTTCCTGAAGAAAATACTAGATGCTTCTGCACTGGTCATTCACTTTCAATTGAGATTAGTAGTTCTTGGGTCCTGTAAAAACAATGAATATCTTATATATAACACCCCTGCTGTGCTTTTAATAAGCTCAAACCCTGCATGGTTACACAGAAGTCAATAAAAATATAATTAGAGTAGTACCAGGTATTCTCAATTCAGTAGGTGATTATTATAAATGCCGTGTCATTAGGGTGTCTTAATATTAGCAAATTAGACTCTGGAGACTGGACAGGTGGTGACCTTGGAAAAGTTTCGGCAAATGGTAACTTGAGATTTTGCTTCATAAAGGTGCCAGAAGGGCAATGGGGAGTAGTTAGCGCAGAGGCTAACAAGATGACTTGCAGTTGCAAAGCTTAATGGCAGTTTAAAGACAAATCACATCATACAAGCGACTTATCACGTTATAACTGGCATTAAGTATTACTAAGTTCCAAGTAGGAGAATATTTGCCCAACTTTCAGTTATGGCTTAGAGTTTAATGTGAGACCAGGGGGCATTCAGAGGAGATCATGCCCTTAGCCCTTGTCTTCATGACAATGGTAATAGTGCTAACATTTTAGAATATCAGTTTGAGGAGGCAGCAATGTATAAAATTGAGCCTTGTTTAGTTTCAGTGCTGCAGGGAAATGTGAAGTAAAACTTAATTTGATCTTCATAAAGTATTTGCATGATTTTGGCAGAAATGAACAGCATTTTGCTTTATAGTAAAAAATGGGGGTCTTAGAGGTAAATAAAACGGTTTTCTTAAAGCGACGAGATTCTGACCATTGAAATTCTATCTTTCAAGGCAGTCTTTTTCTTTTTTAAGAAATCAGTGTCCTAATAGCTACATGAGTTGTTGCAAAGAACATTGTGTCAGTGTGAGTGAAAAATGCTAGGCATTTAATAATATCCATTTTAAGTGTAAAGCTTAAAAATTATTTTAAAGAAATATTTAATAAAATTATATTTAGCAAAATATTTCAGCTTGGGAAAAGTTGATCAGCAAGACAGTAAACCTCTGGAAATATATAAGCTCTACTAACTTCCTGACTTATTTCATATGAGAGGCAAGAAAAACTTGCCATCCCCAACACTTTGTGTATAGCCTCCCCTTATAATACCCATTCATAGTGATTTTTAAAAATGCTTAGTCAGATAACTTAAACTGAGAAGCATGACAGAACATACTAACTAGAGAGTTAAAACTCACTAGACATCTTACCTAGAATGGATAGAAATCTAACCTTAATTTTTTATCCAGCCTTCATAGCAACTGTAGATAAAGTCATCCAGGTTCCCAGTTCAGAATACATTATACCTTTTAAAAAGCATTTTATTTAACCTGATACCACTTGGTAAGAAGAATTCATATGAGTTCTTTAAAAAACATAAAGTCAGAACTAAAAATGCCATTGAATAGAATTACTAATATATAAATGGGTGTCAAGGCTAATAAATACATTGGGTATCATCTGGTTGAGGTGAGTTATGAAACGAAGTTCTAAAATACAATGACTGCATTTGCATTATGATTTCATTTAGTATCAGGCCATGTAGACTTGACTTACTGAAGGATACTAGTAGCCAACATTGTTGCAGTTAATTTGCTTTATTATTTCTTCATGTATCAATGGAGAGAATGTTAAATATCTATTCCAATTGAAATAAAGGTTTTCTTTTCTCTTCCTCTCCCCACCCTGATCCAAATACCTACTTTGTGTAAAAAGATTTGATAGATATCTTGACTTGACTCATTCATTTTGCACTGCAGGTTGCAAGAGAAAATTGAAGGAACAGAGAAATATAGTGTAAAGAGTCAGGAAACATTTTTTCTTATTGTGAGATGTATAATACATATTTTAAGTAGGCATGGTTCAGCCACTCCTCAATATTTATTCTGTAGATTTTGTGTACTTGCCAGTGTGTGATATGTGTATGGACATACCCATGTAGCATTCTTCTTAACTTTTTCTCTTCTTTTACCTGCCTTTGTCCTTTATACATGTAGACTCTTGTTTCTGCTCTTCCAAAATTAAATCCCACGAGTTAAATTACCTGGGAAGTTTGAAGTGTTTATAACATCAATCTTTTGTCAAAGGATCCTTGACAACTAAATTATTATATCCACTGTGTCTCTACCAAGAGGAATTCCATATTCGAAGGCATGTGTAATATAAGAAAGACATAATGAAGGTTTATGTGGCAACAGAATCATCCTTGATTTTCCTGTAGTAGTTCCATCCACCTTTCATCCCATCATGATTTATTTTTAGTTGCTCTGAGTAGGCAATCTGGCTTGTTTTGAGGTTTTCTAGAATGCCCTTTAACAATGAGTGATTCACTCTAGAGTAGATCAAGAGCTCTCACTGTTTTTCCCCCTGATTGGGCTATTCAGTGATGCTTGTGAAGTGGCAAGCACCAACCTGACATCTGCGCCTCAGCATTGCTCAGAAACACAAAGCAAGCATTTTGTTTGCAAAGACAACTTCAAGTGACATGAGTAACCTTTTATCTTCAAAGAGGCTTCATTAGGAACAACCACACAGTTGTCAATCCAGATGTCCCCGTAGAATCCACAGGCATCACTTAATATTAACTTGGTTTTCTTTTGCAGCCAGAAGTTGGGTTAATGTGAAAATGATCATTAGAGGAAATATATATGGATTTCACTTTTAAAGGACTTTCTCCTTATACAAATTTTTAAGAAAATAAATCATGTTGTACTTTTCACCTTTAGTAACAAATGGTTTCTTACGCAGGTATTTTCAATCAACCTTTAAATCTGAGGCTACCAGATGCAAGCTGACAGCTGAAATTTCTTTCTGTAGAGAGGCTGTTTTATGTGTCACAAGTGTTCAATACATGTTTGATAGAAGTTTATAGTGTGTCTATGGAAGCCAACACCCCAGACCAGGAAACAGAGTAGTTCCCTAGATAGGAACTGCTAATACTGTCATGTTGGCTATTTATCTTTTTCACTTGGGGGATAGCACTGAAACAGCTTCATAATGAGGTTCTGTGTGGTGTCCGCAGGTCTTAGAGGATGTGCTGACTTATTTTACTTTAAAATGATAAAGAAAAATATTATATTCTAGTACTCCTCCCTCAACAATTTTCTTTGTGACTTTGGCCAAGGTTAATGCATCTTGACCTCCAACTGCAAAATAAGTGAAGGTAGCCTTCCCAGCCCCCATTCTTTCCCATTTTGAAGTACATACCAGAGTCACTTGGAGGGTTTTTGAGATTGTAGGTTGCTGGGATCCACTCCCAGAGTTCCCAGTAGATCTGGGAGTGCAGTCCAAATTTTCATATTTTTAAGAAGTTCCGAGTGATGCTGGTGCTACTGGCTTGAAGGTCACAGTTTTAAGAACTGCTTTACTTGTGAAATGGTGTTTTAGAAACTTGGTTTAAAGTTATGTTATCACTTACTAATATTGTCATCTTATTTTTTGTGACCTTTTGCTAGAGGAAAGTTTAAGAAATCGAAAATAGCTAAATGCATGTTTAGTGCATGAATTAGTCAAAAAATCAATGAGCTTCCAGAACACTTTTATGTTGAGCCTTCTAATATGATTTGGTGTATACGTAAGTCTGCTCTGTGTTTAGCAGAAGGACAGAATGTAATGTTCCATATCAGGTGGAATTAATAAAATCTAGGGATTCATTTTTAATATTTCATGTATATTTACTTTTTATCAAGGAATCTTAAACTTTGTAGTAAATTTAATATATCATCTAGTTCAGCCCCTCTCATTGTAAGCAGGATCTGACTTGCACTCATGATTTTTCTGTTCTTTTGCCTTATGTACTTTTTAAGACATTGACACAGACCTCATTAAATTTTCCTAACGTCACCAAGAGTTTCTCTTTTTTCCCTATTTTTGTTTTATTTTCTAATGTCTACCTATGAGCCTGTTCTAGCTAAGCTCATTTATTCTTGTTTGTTCCTGGGTGGAAATGAACAGTTACTATCCAGGGCATGGTTGCAATTCATGTTCTAGAAGACTGTCATGAATAACCCCTGAGCCCGCCTTAGCTGAAATTCATCCAGTTGCATTTATCTTTTCTATTTGCCAATAGTTTCCTCCCATAAAACTGTGGTTCTGGGATTGAGAGGGCCAGAATCTGAAAGAATTTTATATTTGAACATAGTCTTAGGAGTCTTTGCCTAGGATTTAGATCTGTTCTCAAAGAACCTCTGTGTGTAAATATTAGGAGATTTTATGGGCTGAGAATTATCAAAATTGTACAAAGGTCTTGATGTGTTTTTATCACATTCCTCATTTTCTGAATCTGAAATAAGATCAAATCCATGCTTTTTTTCAACCATCACTACTAGGATTTCTTAAATAGATTATAAGATACTTAGTGAACTAAACAAATTATATTATCTACTTTAAAAGTTTTTATAAGGGAAACCAGCAAAATATGGTCTCATTTTAAGAATGGATATATGTAAATATATGTGATTATAAATATTCTATTTAGCTCAGCTACTTAGAAGCTCATGTTAATAAGGCCAAGGCCAGGTTTGATCTTTGGGTAAGTTATTCAGCTTTGTTTTCTTTGATACTGACAACTTTCTTGAAAACAAATGTTCTTGGTTACATGGGGTGTGTCAGAAGTTGGAGCTCCTTGATGTCAGTGGGCAAGTGTCCAGAGAAGGAAAGGCCTCAACATTAGACATGTCCATCTGAAATTGTAGGATGAACATGCTATTAGACCACTAGAAAATATCTGGAGGAAGCGATAGCAGGATCTCAGTTTGAGGCCAGCCCAGGCAAAAGTATGAGACCCTATCTGAAAAACAAACTAAAAGCAAAAGTATTAGGGTGTGACTCAAATGATAGAGTGATCACCAAGCAAGAAAAAGGCTTTGAGTTCAATCCCCAGTACCACCAAAAAGAAAAAGAAAAATTCTGAATAGTGAACTGAATCATTAGGGAAACCTATGTGAAAGAAAAATGTATGGAGAAGTTGGTTTGGGCTGTACATGTAATAGCTGGTAGAGGAACACAGGCTTGGAAACTAGGATACAGAGCAGGAACCTAATTTCTGGGAGGATATAGAAAACAATTATTTTAAATAACAACAACAACAAACAATAATAATAAATACTTATTGAGAACTGCTGTTGGGCCAGCTACTGTGCTATGTTGTATTAACAGTTGTGTGGTATTTATGTGTAAATTAGCTTGTGGGACAGTCACAATGATCCTATGGCAGAGGGACTGTTACTATTTCCAGTTAAGAGATGAGGAGACTGCATCATAGAGAGGTTAAGTTGCTCAAAGTCACAAAGCTTAATAACTTGAGGAGCCTCAAGAAGTAGAAATATTATCATCACTGCTTTAGAGATGAAAGATGAAGGCTCAAAATACTAACTTTTCTAAGCATGCACCACAGGTGAATGGTAAACCCTTGACTTGCAATGCAGCTTAGTGACTCCAGAACTCATTCTTTAGCCACAACTTTTTCATCTCCTCAGAGTAAATGCAAAATTGATTTCCAAATGATTGAGTTATTGGAGCGAACAGTGCATGAGCTGCTAGGACAGTGGCTGAGTTATTGAAGGCAATGCAAAATTAGAATGCACCAATTAGAGCAGGTTGGACAGGCGAAATTGCCAGCAAAGTGGCCTTGGTGTTCAGGTTCTAACCCAGATGTTTTGAAATTTTCCCTGACCAAGAGAAGAATTCATGTAGAACTGGGGTAGATCCAAACTTACAGACAAAGACTAAGAGGCTTAGGGAGTAAAAGGGCTTGGGGACAAAGTGAAAATCAGAGAACACAACAATGTGGAAGGAATTTCATCTATTTTGGAAAAAAAAAAGAATTCATACTCAATATAGGAAGATAAAGGAGAAAAAACTTGTCATTTTTAAATATAAAGAACACAACAACATACGATACTGTCTTTTATGATGATATTATAATGGTATGAGATAACACCATATTACATGTATGTGAATTAAGAGCATGTATATCTAGAAAGTGAATTTTGTTAAATTTGTTTTCAGCAATCATTCCGTCCAAGATTCCTTGGTGTTGCTGAGCAATTACACAATGAAGGCTTCAAGGTATGTGCTATAATTTTTTCAAGTATTTTTCTGTCAGCATTAAAATCTGTCCACAAACAAAATATTGCAGAAACAGGAAAATAGTTCAAACTATGTTCTTTCAACCTGAAAGGTTTAACTAATTTGGTTGTTTCAAAACTTCAATACACTAAGATAACTAGAAAGACTAGTTTTAAGTTATAACAAAATTACCACAAACTCAATTGAAGTTGTCAGCTGAAAACTTAGAAACTTTAGGTGAAGTGTAATTGGTAAAAGTTCCAGTGCATTTCCATATCTTTTTCTTTTCCTGTTTCCATATGAGGTCACAGTTTCCAGCCATTAGAGTTACAAGCAAAACCTTTCTGTAGTGAATACCTCCACACAAAGCCTTGTTCAGGGTGGGCCTGTGGACATGGAGCTTTTTGACCTAATAAAAGTAAATTTTAAGCCCTGAATAATCCTGTTTTTCTTTTCTATGAAGACAGTCACAAATTGAAGTTCTTAAATTTTTCTTGCTGAAAATATTTTTAAACTATTAAGTGCTTGCTCATACCCCCAGATTCTGAGTCCAAGTCTCTATACTTGACACCATATTACTTCTTGTGTTCATTAGTTTCTTATTTTATTTTTTGTGTCAAAGAACACTTTATTTTTGTAAATACACAAAATATTCCTTACAAGTGGTATATCTCTTTCTAGAAAGAGTCTATACCAAGGGCACACAACTTGACTGCTGATTATTTTAACAGAAAAAGTGGGTGGATGAAGAAAAACTCTATATAGCCTCAGCAGATGTGACAAATAGTACGAAGTATTTGAAGTGGGCTTGGGTCTTTTCTTATATACAATAGCAAGAAGTGTTTTTGTTGTATTTTATTTTGTCATTTTTGCATTTGCTTACATGTATATACATTATTTGAAATGATATGTTTGTCCCAGTAAGATTGCTTGATCTATAAAACCCTTCCCTGTGATACAGTGACAAAGCTTTTCTGTTCTCAATGCAGCTTTTTGCCACAGAAGCCACATCAGATTGGCTCAATGCCAATAATGTCCCTGCTACCCCAGTGGCATGGCCATCTCAGGAAGGACAGAATCCCAGCCTTTCTTCCATCAGAAAGTAAGAACTGGACAGATTGTTTTTCTGAGTTGATAAAATAGAGAATGAATTGTGGGGACTGGTATGAGAGGAATGTTTCACCTTACTCAATTTTAATTCTTTTAAAAGTCCTCTTAGTCAAGCACTTTAAAAGTGAATCAACTTGAAGGTAATAGTAAAGTTTTACTCTTCCAACATTTACTGTTACTATAGAATAACACTTTAATCTGTGTACATGGTGTTATAAAACACCTGTCAAAATGCATTCTTGTAAGGGTGTTTTTCTTAACAGATACATGTAAGTACAAAGAATGTAATGCAGCATTTATATTTCATGTCAAATTCATATTATATACATATATCAAGTATAAGATTGATCATCTGCATTTCACTGAGGTTGAGATTGAAGGATCAATTTATTGAGCACTTGGTTCATGCACGAAATTGGAGTGGCTCCTGTGGTAATGTCCTTACTCATGTCACCACTAGATTTTGTAATATATGTTATTTCAGCACATCATGTGAACCTTCAGGGACATTAGTGCATCCACACTTACAGAACCATATGGCATAAGTGCATGGTAGATCATTCTCAGTTGTTCCAGGATGTTATAGTCTACCTGATGACTTCACCATTCCAAATTTCATGCATTACACTGTTTATCGGGATATTTAAGAGGTCAACCTATAAATCACTATCAAATTAATAAAAAATGGCATTGTGTGCAGACCTTAGCAGGCTTCTAGGGATGCTATAAGCCCCTTCCTTAGAGCCTTATAGCAATAATCAGCACTACTTGATGCTTTTGACATTTAAATGTCTCTTAGTTGTGTTTAGCTATCCAACAACAGAAGGCAAAATAGTTTAACTCAAATTCAGGTGGCCTGCATTCTCACATCCCCTGCTGAGAGGTACTGGAAAGCAGGCAGTGGAATGTAGTATGAAAGTGGAAGCATGTGAGTGGAAGGGTCTTCAATGCTGGATTGATCACGTCCTTGTAAAAACAAACAAACAAACAAAAAAAACCACAGTAAATGTTTATCAAATTACCAATTCTTACTATGGTCAGAAAATGTGATCTGTTTTCAAGAGAAAACAGATTTTGCACCCCATTAGTTAGGCTTCCGCCAGAATTCTTTCATGAACACAATAAAAACTATAATACCCAAATGAGTGCAATTTAAGCATCTACTTAGCAATAATGGAGGGCGGGTGGCAGTGTACTCAGTATGGCATTGACTTGAATGGCTAAGATAGTAATTTGTGTTAGTATTTTTTGAAAGTAATTACAAAGTATATACTGTTACCTAAAGTTTTTATTTATTTTGTTTATTCTTCCAGATTGATAAGAGATGGCAACATTGACCTAGTGATTAACCTCCCCAACAACAACACTAAATTTGTCCATGATAATTATGTGATTCGGAGGACAGCTGTTGACAGTGGAATTGCTCTCCTCACCAATTTTCAGGTATGCTCTTTCATTTAGATAGAGGCCTCACGTAGGGTTTTATTTCCAAGCCGCCCCCAGAGTATCAGTCAGTATATGTACATCTCCTCTCTTTCCTTTTCCTTATAGCATTCAGATTGGAGTGGAATTTCTAATAGGATTTAAAATAACGATGTTAATATGCTAAGTCATGACCTAAATGGGACCTCAAGCATTTGGTAAACAAGCAATTGAGTTACCAAAAGCAAGGAATAGCCATGGTTCATTCATTACCAATACAACTATGCTTTGAATAAAAGGGGACAGTATGGTATGCAATAAAGGTGCAAGCTTCTGCCTCGTTGTTTATAGAAGAAAGTCACCATAAAAGAAAAAAAGTCACCTGTAAAAGCAACAGGCCAATAATTAGAGGTCCAGATGTAATACAAACGCTTGTCCAATTCACAGCTGATTCATGAGGTACATTCAGTTTCTCTTGGATATACCTACCACATTTATCATTGGAAGATTCACAGATTTGAGATTCTTTAACTTTTTGTCTATCATATTTCTTTTTCCTAAGTCAGTTTTAAGTCCTATGGGGGAGAAAAAGTCTTATTCATTATGATGCCTGAGACATGGGGGAAAATCCTTATGAAATAAAAATGATTGCGCCTTTCATCCATGCCCCTTTGAAAACTGGAAGCAGACTCTTGTGACTTTTCACTCATGACTCATTAAACATTCATTTTCATCTCAGGTGGGTTGCTAAGATTCTTGCCATTTTATTTGCAGGTGACCAAACTTTTTGCTGAAGCTGTGCAGAAATCTCACAGTGTAGACTCCAAGAGTCTTTTCCACTACAGGCAGTACAGTGGTGGCAAAGCAGCATAGAGAAGCAGACACCCCAGTCTCATCTTCAGATCAACCTGAGCCATGTCTTATCTGAAGAAACTGATCCCCAGCTTTCAGTTTAGTCTGTTGTGCCTTAATATTCTGTATCTTTCACAATTAAATTGTTGTTAGTCACTTTTTCAAAACCTTGAGTCCTTACTTAGTAAAGACTTTCTAATTTTCATCCATTTACTAATGCCTTATTTTTGATGGACTAGGCTTACTTATGTGCTTATTTGCAGTTAACATTTTATGGTGCTGATTAATGATGATCAAGGTAGAAAAAGTCACTGTTCTATCTTCTGAACTCTCTCTACTTCAAATACACTCTTGCCATTGTTTAGTACCTGCCACATGTGGGACACATTAACAGGGCAGAATACTATAAAATTTAGTAAAATTAAATATAGATTTAGTTTATGAACCTTTTCATCATAATGTTTGTGTATTGCTTCTTTTTGGTAATTATCCCCACTTATCTGGCCAATCCAGGAATATCATTTTTCCTTCTTGTGATACTGAGTTTGACAAATGAGGTAGAGGTCTTAGATTATGAATTTCTTTAAAGGATCCTGGCTTGCAGTTTCATTTTTTTGGCGTGGTCAGCAGATGAAAGAAAACCCTGAGGTGTTTATATTCTTGGTTTTCTTATTGGGTTTTTAACCCCACCCAAGTAAAATCTTCAGATTTGTGCCATTTGTCCCTCCCCCAATTTTCAAACAATTTGGAAGCCTTCTTTGTTCCCTGCAAATAATGATTCTGTTAATTTACTGAGTCCCACACTGTACTAAGAATTCGACACATTTTAAACACAGAGACACCATTCCTCCTACATACCAGAAAAGTTCTTCCTTCAGAATTGCGTTGGTAGCTTTTAAATATTTTGTGTTATTGCAAGTGCTCTAATTGTAAACTTTTCAATAAAAGACTCTTAAGAGACAATGCAGTAGAATTCTTGCATTTATTTATTTACTTGGTATACAAACAGCAGTTCATTTCTATGATAAAATGGGGTTTAGGGGCCAGGATTATATTACTTTTTTATTTTTTCTATACAAGCTTACTCATATAGTCTATACACAAATTAATGTCCATAACAATGAAGATTTTACTAACATTTTCATCCGTTTTCCCTTATCCCTCTCCTGCTTATAACTCTCAATATAAAATTTATAAAATTTTTGATCTGGCTCTTTTCAAATGTATGGCCATATCAACATACTGACTAAGTGTTGCAATTATATAATAACCCCCTTTTTTCCATTGTTGGTGACCAAATTCATGGCCTCATAGATGCTAGGCAAGTACTCTGTCATTGAGCATCCTCAGACCTGAAATAAACTTTTAAACAAATGACTCACAGAGAAAAGTAACTGAACCCAATCAAGCATTGTCTGATGGAGAGAGTACAACAGGCTCAGTGATGCTGTTATCTGGTCTTACTACCTAAAATGTGGCTTTGCAAAGGCCATGATGATGGTGTCATCATGGTTTTTATCCTTTTCTCTTACCCCAGAGTCAGTTGATTTCCATTTTGTATAGATCTGCATGAAAGTGTTTCAAGTCCATCCTCTTCTTCTTTACTTCCTGTTACCACTGTGGATGAGACCTCATTACTTTTTCTCTATAATCTTTTTCCTGTATAATCCCTGGCTATTCATTCATTTGTCTGAAGATAGTTAATGAGGTTCTGCAATGCTTCATGCAGGTTATTCACTATCCCTCTTATTCCCATCATTCTAGTACTTTCCTGTGAATATACTACTTCTCACCAATATCACCATCACCATCACTGTAATAACGTGCATGATAGAGTATCTACTGTTTCTTAGGCAGTTTAAAATACCTTATATGAATTAACCCATTTAATCCTTAAAATATCCCTGTGAGAAGCACTGTTGTCTCTATATTCTAAGCAGGGAAATGTAGGCAAACAGAAGTTAAGTAACACTCAAGGTCATATAAAATAGTCTCATGTTTCAGAGACTATTCATATGTCTATTTTATTTATATTCTGATAGTACATTTTTCATTGCATAAAAGATACTTAAGTTTGAGTATTGTCTTGCACAGTATCTTATAGTTCCTAAAGAAGACTATAGTGTAAGTGAAATTTCTAGTAATTTGATATGCGTGGAATGAAAGGACTAGAGGCAGAATTTTAGGGTGGACTCTGTTAGTTGTTTGCATTTAAAAAAGATAGAAGTTTTAAAACTGTTTATTTGGAAATGATTTTGTATTTAACATTTTTCTTTTTTTTTCCCCTTATTTATTTCTTTATTCATTGGTGGTAGTGGGGTTGAACTCAAGGTCTTGGGCTTGCTAAGCAGGTGATCTTGAGTCATGACCCTAGCCCTTTTTGCTTTCAGTTGTTTTTGGAATGGGTCTGATATTTTTTGCCTGGGATAACCTGGATTGATATCTTCATATTTAGATTTCTCAGGTAGTAAAGATAATAGGAGAGTACCATATACCCAGCTATTGGTTGAGATGGGGGTCCACTGTTTTTGCCTGGGTTGGCCTTGAACTATAATCCTCCTAATCTCAACATCCTGAATAGCTAGGATTACAGGCATGCGCCACCATGCCTGGCTTGGTCTTAACATTTTTTAAACTTTGTTTCTTGAGACAGGGTCTGGTTATGTAGTCCAGTCTGTCCTGGAACTTGTAATCCTCTTACTTCAGTGTCTGAAGTGCTGGAGTTATGGGTGTGAACCACCATGCCTGGCTCAAAATCCCAGATTTATCTATTAGTAATATTTTACCACATTTGCCTTACGTGATCATCTATCTATCTATCTATCTATCTATCTATCTATCTATCATCTATCTATATGTATTAGTATGGAGTTTGCTACTGTAACAAAATACTAAAAGCAGGCAAAGTTTATGATGAAAAGAAGTTTGTTTAGCTCATAGTTCTGGAGGTTCAAGAGCATAGTGTTAGAATCAGCTCACCTCTGGGGGAGACCTCATAGAATCAAGGTGGGAACGTGTGCAGGAGCAAGAGATCACATTGCCAAATAGGAAGCCAGAAAGAGGCCCAGAGGTGGGTCAGGCTTAGACTTTTGTAACAACTCACTTTCATGAGAACTAACCAGAAGCCCACATACCTTATTCCCTTCCAAGGACACACTCCCACCAACCCAAGGACCTCTTGCTAGGATCCTCCCCTTAAAAGCCCACATGATCTCCCAACATCACCATCCTCAGGATCAATTATGCAGGAGACACACTTTTTAAAATTATTATTATCATATTATTGTTGTACTGAGGGTACACTGTGACATTTACAAAAGTTCTTACAATACATCATATATATTTGAATTCACCTGCTCCATAATTCTCCTTTATCCCCTTCCCACCATTCCTGGAATAGTTTCAGCAGGTCTCATTTTTCCATTTACATACACTTCTATGTAATATTTCCACCACATTCACCCTCCTTCACCCTTTCCTTATATCCTCCTCCCCTCCCACTGATACCAACCCCTAGACAGGACCCGTTTTTGCCTTCCTGTTCTCCATTTTTGAAAAAAAAAAAAAGATGTTCTTGTTTGTTTGAGATAGCTATACAGGGAGGTTTTTTTTGTGACATTTCCATGTATATGTGTGTGTGTGTGTGTGTGTGTGTGTGTGTGTATTAAAGCCCAAAAGCCCAAATTAGTTCATGCCTTGGGGGAGACACACTAGCAACATTTATTGTGTGTTTGTGTATCTCTCTGTCATCTATATGCACACATGAAGAGATAAAGTTTACACTTTTACCAAAAGTGAGCAGGCTGAAAGTGACCAATTTAGAAGTAGTTACCAAATGGTTTGAAATAACTACTGAAATTCTGAAGCAAAACTTAATTTTTGTATTATGGGAATTTAACAAAAGTTCCTAATTTTGATGTCATTTTAATAGTTATTTGAAAAATATAGTAAAATTAGAAAGGTAATAATAATCAACAATAAATAAACTCTATATTTTGTTGGTGAAATAATCTTTGGAAAAGTTGATGAGATACACTCTCTCCATGGTGCTGAAAACTGAATTACATTAATTTTGGTTTCTATTGTCTTTCTGTTTCCATTGTACCAAACTTTTAAAAGACTTAAATACAAATTAATAATGCACCCAGGACCTCTGGTTAGAAGATGGAAATTCAAGAAAGACAATTGTGTTCAGATTTAGCAAGGCTTTGTCCTTTTGGAGCACATTTATGCTTTCATATAAGCAAGCCAACACATTCTAAATGTCTAAATTTGTTACACATCACAAGTGTGGACAACATGGAGCCTATGTCTGTCAAACTGGGTAGTAAATCGAAGTAGCTTTTTTCATACTGAGAATTTAATAGCAAACAAGGACTGGCTCCATTGGGTAGGGAGAAAAGGAGCTCAGCCAGCTTGTGAAATGAAAAAGAGGAAGAAGGAACAATCCATTTCTAGATTTCGGATTTTAAAGCTTTGGAAAGGCAAGGAGAATATTTTAAAAGTACTTCTGTAAAAACTTTCTTCTTAAGTGCCATTCCTATTGGAAACTTTTAAAACAGCTACAACATTCATTTATCTCAACAGCTGCAGGTACTTGAACCTCAGTTTCTAACGTGTCCACAGCCTCTTGAACAATGAAAGTGGAAATTATCAGAGAAACAAACCATGTCTGAATGCAGTTAAGTGCTCTATAATTACATGCCAGCCTTACCAGTTGGCTGCTGGTGCAGCCCCCTGCGGGCACAGGTGCCATAAATGCTCACATACACCCAATCAAATCCACAAAGACCTTTTATTACATATCATTTGAGATACCCTTAGCTCAAAAAAACACTAGCTCGACTTTATTCCTTTGCCTTCTTTCTCTTACCATTTTTTCCTTTGTTCTTGGATATAAAATTCTATTTTTCCTAATGAACATTACTGTGTTATTTTATGAGAAGCTGTGGCATTTGGTGAGAGTGAAGGTAAGGTGGCAGGAGCAAGAATGACTGGCTATGCTCCCTCTGAGTGGCTCCCTTGGCTCTGTGAAAAATGGGTAATAATTGTCCTTACTTCTTCACTTGTACATAATGTAAGGTGTGAGGACCCC